TCGAGGAGGTCCCGGGTTCAATTCCCGGTCAGGCCCTGCAGTCATCAGAACTTGTTCAATGTTTTTGAGTAACCTCGGAACCAGTGAATATTTGAATGAGAGATGAATGTCGAGATTGTATTTTTCCATTTGTTCCTCCCTGCTGGACCATCGTTACGAGCCATTGGCAATGCCACAGAATCTATTTTGAACATCCAAAGTGTGCAAGAAAGTGCATTTGCGCCTCAGACATGTCAATGGACTTCGATTGATCTCGATCCTTTCCACCTTTGTCGTCTTGCGCCACACACATAGCCCAGCCGATCGAGGTTTCCAGACAGAAACAGTACTACATGGCCTGATGGTCTAGTAGTATGATTCCTTGTTAGGGTTTCCACAACTGTTTCGAGGAGGTCCCGGGTTCAATTCCCGGTCAGGCCCTGATATGCGTTTCGTTGATGTTTTTCTTGCGGTTTCCAGGTGCAATTACATAGAACTATGCCATCGGCCTGTGGTCTGTAGGATCAGACTATAAATGTGGGAGGAGGTCCCAGGTTCAATTTAAACGTCCAAATTCCGGCCATGGCCATTTGTTTGCTCTCCAGATGAGCCATCACTAAAACTCCATCAGTTCCTACTAGCGTATCCCACTTGTATGGAGAGCTTCATCCACTTTCGTCCACCTGAGATTGAACTTCGTCGTCACCCGCTCATCCCCATGATCAGTTCCGACAATTGGTCTATCTCCTTTGAAGGCACCGGAAAAAAATTCCGGCGGGGATGCAGAAATGCCGCAACTCAACAAAAAAATTGCACCATCATATGTGTGTCTTCATGATCCATTAAGGACGACCATCTGACAACGCCATCTTATCCTCCACCTGGTCAGTTGTCCTCTGGAAGCTTTTAGAAGCCTGGTGAGTCATCGTAACATTTCATTTACTTGCAACCCTGCTTGATAAGAATCTTTTTCTGACTCACCTGTTCAATAGATAATTTATCAAACCGTTGTTCAGGTCCCCTCAGGCTAGGCTTTCCACATATGACAGTCGTTGCAGAACAAGACACGACTCAGACTCACGATCACGAAAATTCTGGCGTTCATCTGAACAACAGAAACGAAAATTCCAATGCCAATGGAAATGAATCTCTTCAACAAGAACCTCCAAGAAAACGCACACCGTTGCCAAAATTCCAGTTATTCATTGTGCTCTTGATTCAATTTGCGGAACCTATCACTGCGACTGTCATTTATCCATTCATTAACCAGTTCGTCCGTGATACAGGCGTTACGAAGGGGGATGAACGTAGAACGGGGTATTATGCTGGTATCATCGTGCGTTTTCTTGTCGATAAATGGATTTTACGGGATTGTTAATCGCATTTATAGGAATCCACATTCTTTATCACTGAAGGGTTGACTGTAGTCTATTGGGGTCGCGCGTCTGATTACTTTGGTCGACGTCCTATCTTGTTGCTCGGGCCGTTGGGATTGGCCCTGGCAATGTTGAGTTTCGGTTTATCGACTGACTTCTTGAGTATGGTTGTGTCAAGATGTATGCAAGGCGCGTTTAATGGCAACATTGGTGCGTTTTTTTCTTTGTATGTCTTTCTAGCGCTAACGTGTTATTCAGGTGTATCCAAGACTGTTATGGGCGAGGTCCGTTTTTAACTTGTGATTTTACGTGGGGAGACAGACGCCTGACTTGTTTTACTTTGTGATAGATCACAGATTCAACAAATGTTGCAGATGCTTTTGCAATGATACCCCTCATGTGGACAACCGGTACCACCATTGCGTATGCTTAGTGTCGTCGTTTTTGTTGTATCCCGGTTCTAAATGACTTGGATAGGCCTATCATTGGTGGACTACTTTCGCAGCCTGCGACAAGATGGCCAGATCTCTTTGGAAAGATTCCCTTCTTCCAACAATACCCATATCTCCTTCCGTGTGCTGTAGCAGCATTGATCAGCGTTTTGACCGCAGTTTGTGGGTTTATGGGACTCAAAGAGGTCAGATCACTGCTGCTTGCTATTCTGCCTTTACACTAAAAACAAATACAATAGACGTTACCCTCAGCAGTCCTGCGGGAAAAGAAAAAGAAAGCGGCAATCGAGCGATGTGCTGCAACCGACGCAACAACTCCTCTGCTCTGTGGCCACAATGAGCAGGGATATTCAACTACTGCTACCAATTCGACCATCGAATCAGCCGAGACGGAAGACGAGGAAAACATGGCTCCTCCATCTATTCGTGACATCCTTACCCCGCAAATCACACTCATCCTCGTGATATATGCCTTCATGACTTTCACAGATATATCTCTCGGGGTCCTCCAACCCCTCGTCTACTCGACCTCTGTCTCCCTAGGTGGCCTAGGTTTCGACCCTTACCGCATTGGCGCGGTCATGGGTACATGGGGTTTCGTTAACACAATATTCAACTTATTCGGCCTTCCAAGGTTCCTTCGAAAATTCGGAGCACGGAAAGTCCAGAACCTGGTCTATTGCAGCTATACAATAGAACTCATGCTTTATCCTGTCATGCGATATCTTGTAAAACGCGCAGGAGGCGTAGATGGCTTTGTGTGGACGGTTTTGATTGTGCAACTCACACTTGCGCTATGTCATGGTGCTGCTTTTGGTCAGTACATTTTATCGATGATTGGGCTGGCGGGTACTGAGCGACGAACCAACAGCATCGATATACATGTTGATTCTCGACGTCACTCCTAATCGAGCAGCTCTTGGGACCACAAATGGCATGACACAAGCTGTGGGCTCAGTCACGAGAGCCATTGGACCAACTGTGGCATCTTCCTTGTTCTCAATATCCTTGGAGAGACGCCTAGCAGGCGGGAACATGGTGTTCATGGTCCTGTTCGTGATTGCTGCCATTGGTCTTCGATTAACATTCCTGCTGCCCAAGCGCACCACTACCAAATGAGCTAGCACCTGTAGGCCATGAAACTGGCATGAAATCAAAGGTATTAGAGGAGGACCATGTGG